TATATCGTATTATATAATATATACATATATATGTGTGTGTGTGTGTGTGTGTGTGTGTGTGTGTGTGTGTGTTTGTATATAGGGTGAAAAAAATAGGAAAAATTATTGATAAATCCCATTTAGAAGTGTTTTAACCCAAGAAGTTCATGAATGAATTTTTTAACCCATTTAGTCCCATGTATGTATAGTTTTATTCCATAAAGTCATTTTTCTTGATTTACACTATTTTCTTGAACACTTATGCCCTTATATTTAACTTTGATACCCTTATAAATATTTTTTGAATGGTTAGCAATTTTATGATGTGAACATTCATATTTTAAAATTCACATTGGTAGGAATGTAAAATTGGCCCGTGGGCGGCCCGAAACCCGCCCCCGAGCAGGGGCGGGCCCGGCCCGTTGACAATGTGAATATTCATATTAACATGTTAACATTCACATTAATAGGAGTGTAAAATTGGCCCGCGTCTCGTGGCGGTGAGAAACCCGCCCGCCAGGGCGGGCCCGGTTCGGCCCATTGACAATGTGAATATTCACATTGACATGTTAACATTCACATTGATAAGAGTATAAAATTGGCCCGCGGCCCATGATAGGCCAAAAGCCCGCCCGCGGCCCGGGGCAGGCTCGGCCCGGCCCGTTGACAATGTGAATATTCACATTGACATGTTAACATTCACATTGATAGGAGTGTAAAATTAGCCCACGCCTCGTGGCTATTCGAAACCTGCTCACGGCCCGGGGCAAGCCCGGGCCGGCTGGTTAACAATGTGAATATTCACATTGACATGTTAACATTCACATTGATAGGAGTGTAAAATTAGCCCGCGCCTCGTGGCTGCCCGAAACCCGCCCACGGCTTGTAGGCAGCCCGGGATGGGCCCAGCCCGGCCTGTTGACAATGTTGTGAATATTCACATTGACATGTTAACATTCACATTGATAAGAGTATAAAATTGGCTCGCAACCCGTGGGCGGCCCGAAGCCCGACCGCAACCCAAGGCAGGCTTGGCCCGACCCGTGACAATGTGAATATTCACATTGGCATGTTAACATTAACATTGATAGGAGTGTAAAATTTACTTGCTGCCCGAAGCTTGCCCGCGGCCTGGGGTAGGCCTGGCCTGGCCCATTGACAATGTGAATATTCACATTGACATGTTAAAATGCACATTGATAGGAATGTAGAATTGGCCTGCGGCCCGTGGGCTGCCCGACGCCCGCCCACGGCCTGGGGCAGGCTCGTTTGGGTCCGAGCCCGAGCATGTCCGCGACCTTAGGTTAGGGCCTAAGTCATTACTTTGAAGCCCGGCTCGGCCCACTTAAGGCCCATTCGAGGCTCGATCCGAGCCCCAGCTCGCCCGAGGTGCAATGTATTTTTTTGTGGAAAATAATAAAATTTTGGTAGAAAAAATTAAAAAGAATTAAAAAAAATGGCCAGGCCCGCCCAAGCCCGGCCTACGCTCAAGGCTAGGCCCAGGCCCACCGGCCCGACCCGACCCGAGGCTCGATCTATTAGCCCATCCAAAGCCCAAATACCCTTGTGCCAAGGCTAGGGCCTGGGCCTAATTTTTTGGCCCATGGGCCGGCCAGACCTTGCCCGAGAAAGGCTGGTTTGGGCCCAAGCTCGAGCCTAGTCCGAGACCTTAGGCTAGGGCTTGGGCCATCAATTTGAAGCCCGGCCCAGCCCATCGGTCCGGTTAAGGCCCATTCAAGACTCGGTCCGAGGCCCGGCCTAGTGTCTTTTTTTGTGAAAAATAATAAAATTTTAGTAGAAAAAATTAAAAAGAATTAAAAAAAAAGGCCAGGCTCGCCCCGGGCCGCCCACGGGCTGTAGGCGGGTTTCAAGCAGCCACGAGGCACGGGCTAATTTTACACTTCTATCAATGTGAATATTAGCATGTCAATGTGAACATTCACATTGTCAACGGGCCGGGCCGGGCCGGCCCTGGGCCGCTGGCCAATTTTATACTCTTATCCATGTGAATGTTAACATGTCAATGTGAATATTTACATTGTCAACAGGCTGGGCCGGGCCCGTCCCGGGCTGCCCACGGGCCGTGGTTGGGTTTCGGCAGCCACGAGGCGCGAGCTAATTTTACACTCCTATTAATGTGAATGTTAACATGTCAATGTGAATATTCACATTGTCAACGGGTCGCCTATGGGCTACGGGCTAATTTTATACTCTTATCAATGTGAATGTTAACATGTCAATGTGAATATTCGCATTGTCAACGGGCCGCCCATGGGCCGCGGGCGGGTTTTGTGCCGCCACGGGACGTGGGCCAATTTTACACTCCTATTAATGTGAATGTTAATATGTCAATATGTCAATATGAATATTCACATTGTCAATGGGCAGGGCTTGCCCCGACCCGACTCGAATTTTTTCGGACACCCACGAGGATTGACATGGGCCGGGCTCCTACACATTGACGATATGAACATTCACATTGACGATGTGAACATTTACATTAGGGGTATTTTGGTAATTATGTCACCCATAGGACTTATTGAAACATAAGAAAATAATGTGAACTAAATGGAACATAAGTAAATGAAAAAGGGTATTTTGGTCTTCTTATCTCAAATAGGACCTAATGGAATAGTAAAAAAGAATATGAGTTAGATGGAATAAAACTCTTAGAAAATAGATTTATCAAAAAAGCTCTCAAAAAAATATTATATGTACATACATATGTGTTTATATATTATACAGGATGAAAAATATTATTTATCTTTCAAGCCTTCGGGGGATAAAAATTTAATTCCGGCCCTATCCACTATTGATGATCTTAACTACAATGAAATTAAATGAAAAGAGTATAACGACGACTGGGTAGGAAGAGAAGATTTGACACTTAGCCTCTGTTTGGCAAGATGGTTTTCAGGCTTTTTTGGCTATTTTAGCCACAAAAAACAAAATAGGCTATTTTAGCCATAACAAACAAAACATCACATCCAACTTATAATCATTACATTCTTCTCTCACAAAAAAAGTCAAAAAAGCCAAAAAGCCAAAAAGTCCTTCCCAAACCAAGCTTTTTAGCCCAGGCTAAAATAGCCAAAAAAGCCAAAAAGCCAAAAAGCCAACCTACTTCCCAAACCAAGCCTTACTTTTTTAAAATTCTAAACTTTTTTTTTGAAAAATTAAAAACTGGTTTGACAAAATAAATGACAAAAAATATATTTTTGGAATTTTAAAAGTTATTTTTGGCCTGAAAAAAAATAAAATTATAGGAAAATGATGAGTGTTTTTTTCATTTTTCACCAAATTAAATTTTAATTTTTTTTTTTGAAAAATTTTAAAAACTAAACCCAATAGGGTTGACCTAACTCTGTTCAATAACTGGGAATATAGTGCCAAATGAAAATATTTATAAAGAAAAATAAATTAAAGGCAAGAAAAGGATAATCAACAAAACAAGTCTTTCGTCCCAATTATTTGGAATTGATTACTACATGAATTAATTTCCTCCAATTGATTTTATTTGTAGTTATATTCGCAGCAATTTTTAAGGATTTATTTTTATTTTTATCACCTTAACCTAAGTCCTCATAGACCATCCTGTATTTCTTATAGTTGTCATTTCCTATAGTCTTTTGTTTGGTCAGAAGTAAAATTATGCTGGTAGGTGAAAGTAACTTTTCAACTAATGTATTTTTTTATTTATTTTTTATTTTTTTTTCACATTCACCTAAATCTGTGTACTTTCGTCAAAATGACTTGTCTGAGATTCACCATAACCCTGCGTGTTCGACCTCAATTCTAGAAACAGTTTTTTGTTCTTAATAAATAAATTAAAAAAAAAAAAAGAGCAGAAAAAAAAGATTAGAAACTACATAGAAAATTTGTTTAATGAAATATTTTCAAGAATGGCAGGGGATCACTACAACATATAAAAAATTTAAGGACTAAATTTTTTTATCTCCAAAAATAAAAATAAAAAATTTGAAAAAAATATTTGAAAACAAATTTATGTCGTTGCAAATATCGTCACTAAAAAATTGTCCCAAAAAATTATTAAAAAAAGGTTTTTAAGTGACAATTTTGAAAATGTTGCTAATAATGTATTTTAGGAACGACACAATTTGATGCCAAAATGGTTTATTTTTTGAGATAGAAATTTTGATTTCGAAAAAATAGTAAATCATCACTAAATGTTCAACGTCTCTAAAAATATATTAATGATACTTTTCGCAACTAAAATGTTATATCTCTAAAAAAAAAAATTTGTTCTTAACTTTTTGTCATAAAATGTTAATTTGTTGCAGTGGATTGAGATTTGAATTTTGCTAGCCAAAAGCCTATTCCATGCATTCCTTGATTTGGTCAGTGTATGGGTTCATGGACTCTATTTTTTTGTTTTTTAAGATTGGTGGGTAACAAGTTTCAAATTTGGGCCTTTTGGAATGAGGCTTTTCCAAAAAACTAAACACAGATGATTTGAATTGGCCCAATTACAATATGAGCCAAGCAGAGTTGGGGAATTGATAAATTTTGCTAAATCGAAGCCCAGTGGTCTTGAAAACTTGAGCACAAATCAAGCTTAGCTTTACAAATCAAACATAACTGATCACTATTCAAGTTTGATTTGAAAATTTAACAAATTTTAAAATATGTTTAAATTTGAATTATTTGCATAACAAATTAAATCTTAAACGAGTTTTTAAAGATACGAATACAAATCAAGCTTGAGTAATTTGATTTGTTTTCCTATCTTGACAACTTGGATCACTAAAGTAAACTCAGATGCTCCTAACAAGAACCTCCGATCCTAGTGAGGGAAGACTCATCCTCTATTTATCATATTTTATTTATTATTTTACGTGAAATCCATTAAACCAATATAATTAATATAAGAGATAATAAACAAATCATAGTAGACAAAAATACCATCCTAACACTATTGTTTGAACTAACATCTTAACTAAAGTACCTTATATATATGGTCCAATCTTTTGAAGCCAATACATTTTATGATGAAAAAAATAAAGTAAAATAAAATCTCATGTTAACCCAACTACAGGATTAACTTTATATAAATCATGAGATCTCTCATGGTCCAGATTACATCTTATACATGGTTGATTTCTTTATTTGCCTTTCCTTTTCTACCAAAACTAGTAGTGGGACCATATTAGGCTTATATCCCTTGAGTGTACCATGTGCCCACTTTTTATTCCACTTGCAACTTTGCTTTTTTTAATTCAACTAAAATCTCTTGGAGATAAAACCCTAATTAAAAAAAGATAAAGAGAACTAAAGCTAACCTTGTCTCTATCTTCATGTTCCTTTCTTTGTCTGTGCTCTTTCACTTTCAATGTTCATGAAATCAGTGAGCCAACCATCTTTACCCCTCTTCCATGTCATGGATTCCAAATCTTCAAAATCTTTGTCACCCACATGTAGTTTACTTTGATTTGTGGGCTCCCCCCCTTTCATTCTCTTTATATATAGTGTTTACAAACAAACATGCTAATTAAGAAATCAAAAAAGTAATTAAAAAAAAATAGTTAAAAAATAAAGTTTATGGATCAGATTGATTCTCAATATCAATATGAATCAAAACTCGTTGTTATGTTTTTCCGTGTCATTTCAGTCTTAAACTTAGTTTTTAAATCATGACACCAAAAATGCAGTTGAGAACTCCTACTCTTTACTTTGAATATGGCTGAAACACACTAAATTTGAATCTATATTAGGCACCTTATTTTCTGATTATTATTATTATTATTTTTTGACTACTTTTTCTGACTTTGTAACTTTTTGAATTTACAAAAGAGGGTTCGGATATTCACTGCATGCATGTGCATTTGCATGCATGATCTAGTCATGAAGCAACATCATCTAGTAAAGTGCATGGGTCAATGGGCAGGAAAGAAAAGTGGGGAGGAATCTCGTTGAAGTTTCCCATCAACAACTCTCACTTTGCTCATCTTGTTATCACACCAATGCAACTGTTCTTCACTTGGGTCAGACATTCTTAAAACCCTAGAAACCACCTTTGTGTCTATAAGAGCCATCAAAATCTCAATCTCTTCCCCCTCCTTTAACCTTCTTTTTTTTAAGCATTTGTGAGTTCGGCGAAGATCTTTCAGCTTCAACTTCTTCTGCACATATAAATATAGTAAAGAAAAAAATGAAAGTTATTATATATCATCAGAATATTTCATCAAAACTTTGAATATGTAATTTTCTATATATTATGGTGGAAAAATATTTCAAGGAAACTCTCCAGTCTCTATGTAGTTTTTCTAAATACTTTTTGGTGATTTATTTCATGGAACCTCGTCATGGTTAATGACAAAAGTATATTCTAAATACTTTTTGGTGATTTAATTATGTGCCCCTAAGCTAATTCTAATTGAACTTTTTTTTTTTTAAAGAAAAAGTGAATAAAACTGAGATAGGAACTCACCTTTTTATTTAATTTCTTTAGTAAGAGAAGACGAGTTGGATCAGCTGAACCTCTTCGGTTTCTCTTGAAGAAAGCTGCCAATATTTGGCAGTGAGTCTCCTTATCTGCTTTGAGAAAATTCATGAATGTTCTTATTGCTTCTTCCATTATTTGAAGAAATGAATCCGATGAAATTCTTGTTCCAAGTCCTTCCTCTTTCTCTTCATCATTTGAATCTAAAATACAAAAAATAAAATAAAATAAAATGACAATAATAACAATATCAATGCAAGATAATCATCGTTAAGAAGACATCTATAAGATTAAATTATGAAGTTAATCTAATCCTAAAGCACAAAACCACTTTAATTGTTTGAGATGATGTTAGATAAAACATGAATGTTCACTCGGCACAATAAAATGTTTAAACTACAATTAGCTTCATTATTTGAACTAAGAAGATTTGCACCCATGTAAAGTAGAATTAATTAAGAATTTAAGAATTTGTAACTAAGCATCTAAAAAAATTAAGAATTTGCTGATCAAAAAAATAAAAATTTGTAACATAATCCATTTGTTACATTTTTTCTCCTTTTGTCAATGTTATCCCATGTCATTGTTGCATGTATCACCATTCACAATGGGTTTTGTGGTTACACAAATATGGTTTTAGTTATTGATATAAGGGGATGAATCAGTACTAATCACAGTGTAACAATATTAAAACCATTGTGCGATATAGATTGAGAATTGAGTGACAGAAGGTCGTAAAAATTTTAAAATCTTCAATTACAAAAAAGAGTTTTATATAAGCAGTCGTATCAATTGTGAACCAAATTTTCATTCCCCTGAGCATGTATCGGTATAGAAAGACTAAAACGTAATAAGTATTGGCAGATATTTAAAAGCCGTTAAAAATGAGGATACAAGCGATTAGGTTAAATTAGGCACCTCTATACTCTGGAACTTGAAGCAATTTAGGTGCCAAACTCCTCATCTTGGCATAAATTTCAGGCCTCTTACCATGCTCATAAGGCTCATTCTCTACATATCTCTGCAAAAGAACTAGAAACTGTTGAAATTGCTGAGCAATATAGGCTGGACATCCTGGGTCGGATTCACGGCGCGAAGCTCTCAAGCGATGGAAGTACTTGTAGTTCCAATTCAGAGCTTCCCACGTCAAACAAATTTGAGCAACATATGCAGCTTCCAATTCTTGATATGGGTTTTGATAGGTTTTTGACGATTTTTTATTAGCCAACTTGTAAACAATCCTCTCTGATATTGATCTTGGACATGCCTGTATTGACCTTAGCGACTCTGCAAATATGGTGGTGTTAGTTAAAAACACATTTCACTAGTAAATCATAGAAAAAAACAATGGGTAAATTACATTTTACATTGCTATACTTTATATCAAATTTTACTGTAGTCCTCCAACTTTTAATTGTAACAGTCAGCATTTTACATTTTCCGTCAAGCTGCAATGCAGCCTTTTCCGTTAGTTTGGTGTTAAAATGCCAAACATTTTTCAGTTAAAAATGATAATTTTCTCTTTTTTTTTTTTAATTTATTCTATATTTTTCACAATATTTTTTCTTTTTATTGTATTTTGTAAACTCATCATCACCAACCGTCTCTTCCCAAGTAAGATTAGAAATTATAGTACAAACAGAAAAGTGAATATATATATATATATATATATATATATAGAAGAAATAGAAAAAAAAATTAAAATTTTTCCCTAAAAATGTTCAATGATGCCAGATGACAATTTTAATCAAAAAATTTTGCACCAAACTTACGTATGAATCAAATTGTAATTTGATCCAAAGTACAAAAAGTTGACTACTATAATTATAAAAAAGAAGAAGAAGAAATTAAAGTAAGATTTGTTATAAAATGAAGAAATATAAAGTATAATTTACCCCCTAAAAAATTTTAAGCGACAGAAATTACCTGTTTCATGGAGTTTTTGAGCACTAATTCTATCCAAGAATAACATCTCTTCATCATACTTCTGAAACACAGTGTAAGACTCCCATTTTGGGCAACTTCTTCGGGACGAAGATGAAAATGGATCTTCGGTTCCTGAATCCCTATAATTAATGGAGCTTCTCCATTCAGAGGAGCTCTTGGAAGTAGATCCAACTGTACATGAGTCCCCAAAAATCTCTTCATCTATATCCTTTCCTTGAACTTGAAGCTTCTTGGTTTCCAACTTGGGTGGTGCAAAAATCAAGAAATTTTCATCGTGTGTGAAATTCGCCTGCACCTCGGTTTCTATCTCTTGGTTTCCGCATTTCTCTGCAACAACAACATAAGCAATATCAGGTGGAGTACACATAAAAAAACAAAAAACTAAAATACAAAATTAAATTGTAACTTGGAAGTGACTAGAATACAAATACCATCATGGGTTTCACTTTTGTTTTTGTCCATGGTGATTGGTGGGGTAGCCATAGCCCCACAATCATTTGTATCAGAAGTGAAAACAGAATCAGTATCTCTTGCTAGGATCTCTTCCTCAATCTCTTCTTCCCCATCATGTTCTTCTGATTCTGATGCCGGTGAGTGAAAAGCTTCTTGTGATTCTTCATACACTGGCTCCTGACAGTTGTCATCTTCTTCACCAAAAATTAGATCCTTTTGAAGGCTTCTGACGGGCAAAAATTGTAGTGCTTCGCCACTGTGAATTATGTCGGCCACCAGATGATCTCTTTCTTTGTACTCGCCCTGAATATACCCATTTTCTTCTTCTTCATCATCTTCATCAGTATACATGGCAAAGTCATATACATCCTGAGTTCTGCAAGCAAAATGAAAAATAAAAAACAAAAAATAAATAAAGAAAATGGTTAGTATAACAAACATTGGCAGTAAGTTTTTTTTCTTTTTTCTTTTTTTAAATGCCCTGTATTGAGATTTTAGACTTATGATACTAATTTTTTTATAAGTAAAACAAGTTTTATTGATAAAAATCACAAGTACAAGATGTACAATTATAAATTGCATTAATAGAGAGGCCAACGCAAGGAGCATAATTACTACAAGAACACATCCCAACCAACGTTGGCATATGATCTGAGCCAATCATATACTAAGCCAAACCAAAACATAAAAATAAAAAATAAAAGCCAAACCAACCTCTACCCAAAATTTCAAGATAACAAAGACTTGATTGACCCAAAAATTTCTAATACCAAACTGATATATTGGCTGATATTGTTTTCTGCTCATATATGACTATATCACGAACATTGATAAAAATCGTCATCATATCATGATTTAAACTATGATTGAGAGAGAGAGAGAGACAGAGATATGATGATGATGTTGATGCTATACCTTTGGAAGATTGGACTGCCACAATAGTGGAAGAGTTTGGCAAGAAAAATGGAGGTGAAGTAGAAGAAGAGGAAGAGGAGGAGGAAGGAGCTGGAGACATTGTAGAACAAACTAGCAAGTGTTTCTTTGGAACATTGCATTTTCTTTGTTGTGGCTCTGGAAAATGAGTCTATGACGATACTAATCTCTTTTTACACAAGTGTTTGTGCTTTATTTGCTTTCACAACCTTTTCTTTTCCTGGTGTGCCCAAATGGACCGTTGGCATTGCTTTCCTCAAAATAACTAATATGCCCTTGTGACTTTTAACATGTTTAAAATCTTGTTTGAGAACAGGTTATTTTAGTAATTTTTTGATTTTTTATAAAAAGATGTACAGAAAAGTAGAAAAAGTGATATGACAACTTATAATGACTTTTTAACTAAAATACTTAATCCCCAAACAAGGCCTGAGTCACCATGACAGTTAATCAAGTGGACAAGCTTAGTTGACTATTTTTACATACTTCTAATTACGAGGTTAGGGAGTCAATTTATGCCAAAGACAAAGATTGATTATTTTTTTTTCTCTATTATTTATAAATTATGATTGTCCAATTTAATATATCTTCATAAATATAAATAATCACTTGCAAATAAAAAAAAAAAATTACCATAAAAGTTGCTAGCCTATATGAAAAAATGCACACTCTTGTTGAATACGTAGGATCTTCATGTGTAAAAGGAGAGATTGGAAAATGATCAACTTCTCATTATAGAAAATTTTGTAAAATAATCAACTTTTAGATGACAACTGAATGAATAAAAAGTATTGAAAAGAATTCAGATCTTTGATTTCAATAAGGCACTAAGTAAAAATTTGGAGTTTTAGAACTTCTTAACATTCTTACAAATAAACACTATATATTTGAACTAAAAGCAAAATAAACAAACTAGATGATCCAAAAGATAAAGGAGTTACTCTACAATATTTGATTTATTGCTCAATAAATTTATTCCACAAGTCCATCCTTTCACACATGTATTCAACCCAACTTCACATTTAAAGTACATAAATCTTGTCGTTAAAACAAAACTCCTAATAAAAACAAAAATAAAAAGAAGAGACCATTACCTGGCTACAAGCATTCATAAACATCTGTGACACATATACTTTCTAAAAGAAAATATTAAAATATGACCAACAGAAAGTTCTATTATTTTAAAATTAGTTCAATTAAAAAGCTATTAACATAGGTTAATTAAAGTGGTTTTAGACAAGTTCATTTGGGGAGGGCTTATGAGTATTCTTTGTCTCTTAATGGAGAAAGGGCCTTTATAACTATAGAGGGGTGTTTAGTCATTTTAGATCTTTTCATTGGATTCTTCTCATTTGCTTCTTCTTCTTCTTGTCTTTAACTTGGCCACTAAGGTTTCTTTCCTTTGAATCAAAAAAATAAAAAATAAAAAAAAATCTAAGGTTTCTTTCCACATACCTCTGTCTGCTATTGTGCACTTTACGGACAAGCAACCAAATATCTGTTTGGTTTGGTGCCCTAAACTCTAAAGTAATTAATCAACTCTACAGAAGCCAACGCCTTTGAGTCCTGAGAAATTATTGCACAAATTTATGTGGTGGTTCAATTAAATATTTATTTGTTTAGATAGGAAGATTTAGGCCTCGTTTGGGAACATGCTAATTTAATAACTTTTTGGCTATTTGGCTAAAATATGAGCTAAAAAAAACTAGTATGTTTGGGATGACTTTTTGGCTTTTTACGAAAAGATGTGCAAAAAGTAGAGAGAAAAGAGAATCTTTGACTTTTTGGTATGGGTTATTGGCTTTTTGGCTAATTTAGTAACTTTTTGGTTTTTTGACTAAAATAGAGGGTTCCCAAACGAGGCCTTATTAATTTTTTTTGTTGGTGTTTCATAAGATAACATAAAAGCATCAATTGATAAATGATAAAAATAACACCTAATAATTTTTTCCATCTGATTTGCTGAATAAACAAATGACAATCCTATGTCTAAATTATCTCTTCCTCTTTATACTAGATCAACTCTCCACCACACAATCATGTTAAAAATAATTATTGTGTGATGGATATAGAATTTGAGACAAGAGAATAGGACAATTTAGGATAGATGCTCCCCTAGTATATAAACTTGGATTAAAATTTCTACTACTTTATTTATTTATTTTTCTTAACCCCACATAAATCTCACTTGGGCAAGGTCTACAACATAATTAGGGCTTTTAGTCTAGTGGTTGTATAGTACTACTTGGTAATGTGAAGTTTGCAGGTTCAATTCTTATAGAAAAGAATTTGATATATCTTTTGTTTACCTTATATAAATAGCATAGAGATGAACAATAATTGCATATCTAAGAGGATATCGTCACGGTGTTAACTCTTTTTTTTCATATTGTAATTGGTTTAGGGATTGATAGACATCTTTCATATTTATTATGGTATTTGAGAGGCAACATAAATGGCTATTTGTGATTAATGGAAGATGTGCTACCCTCTATATAGTCCATAATTTTTCTGTGTACATAGATTCACTCTCTTTTTTCTTTTCTTTTCTTTTTTTTAAGTCCCTTCTTAAAAATTCAACCCCAACTTTATAAAGGATGGCATATAGGGTAAGTCCTTGTAGAGCTTGCGGCACATTTAAGGGTACTTAAGAAATGGAATAAATCCAATTAACCAACTAAATTGAACCAAGTCAGTCTGTTTTAGTCTTTATCTCATTGAATACGGTCGGTATAGTTTTGATTTGATCAAATGAAATGAAATAAATCCAAATACCAATTTGGTAACCGTATTTAACTTAAGTGAACTAAATCTTATAGAAATCAAGTGATTCATGAATGGAAAACTTTACGACATAAAAAATAAATAAATTTTTTTTTCATAAACTTCTTCATTAAATTGATATTATTATTTTTGTACATATTTTCCCATTTGTATTTGTTAAAGACACTTATGAATTGTGAAATATATTTTGTTAAATCAAATTTATATATTGTTGTTAGAACATATTGTGGGTTAGTGATTTTGTTTATTTGGGCCCAATTTCTTTCTTCCCATTAAACAGTTCTAATTTGTAAGGCCCAAATCCAATCAACCTCATCCCACCGCGCGTCATTGGGTTGGCAATAAGATCGGTTTAGAAGCCACCACAATAAATTAAGATTTTAGAAATAAAAATTTAGAAACAAAATCACGCTTTAGGAGTGAAATATTTTAATTGCTAAAAATGTTGTTGTAAGGCCCAAATCCAATCAACGTCATCACACTGCACCTCATCGGGTTAGCAATCTGATCGGTTCGGAAGCCATTACAATAAATTAAGATTTTAGAAATAAAAATTTAGAAATGAAATCATGTATTAGGAGTGAAATACTTTAATTGCTAAAAGTGTCGTCGATGTATTTTTAGTGAAAAAATTAAACATTTACCAATAAATTACTATCCTTTCCAAATCAAAATTTTTGCCTAAAAAAGTAAATCATTTTGGAACAAAATTATTTTGTGCATTTATTAATGACATTTTCAAAACGGTTGATTTAGTTTAGGCTTGGTTGAGATCATTTTCATTTTCATTTTCATGTTCATTTTATTTTTAAAAAAATGGAAATAAAAATAATGAAAATTTAAAAACACACATTATTTTATTTTTGTGTGAAAATACTTTTGGTGTTTCCTAAATTTGTTTAATAGTTTGCTAAATTTGTGTTTTTAAAAAATAAAATAGATTGGTAAACGAAAAACGGAAAATGAAATGTGTTTTTAGAGCTTAGTATTGCGGTTTGGATCGGTTTGGAATGAAACTAAGACCAATTCATTGTCTACTTTGAACCAAATCATTAAAATCATGAAACCAATATGAACCAAACTATGTAAATAAGGTTCGGTTCGGTTCGGTTCAGTTAAAAATCATGGTTTTACATAATATGTTTATAAGAAAAATCATATTAACACTCTTAAAAATATTCAACCTATCATAATTATAAAAATAATAATAACAAAGCCATCAAACAAACTACTCTCATAATATTTACCAGTTAAATAAAAACAAAACATTAAACAAACATTATTCAATATTAATTTGTCATCATTTTTTGAAATATAAACTTTCAAAACAGAAACATGCACATTATTCCACCATCAACTTAAACAAACATAATATCTAACCAATAAATATATATGTTTTAAATTATACGATCCGGTTTGGTTAAAATCTAGAACTGTGGACTTAAATCTGGAATCAATCTGAGGAGACCGGTTTCCTAATTTTCCAAATCAGGACTAAATCACGAATTAAAAGAATCAAATCAAACTTACTAGATTGGTTTGGACCGGTTTGGTTTGTGAATTTTTCCATATATAGATATATATATTTATATATTGGGTTTGTGGCCCGCAAGGTTTGGACTATAGTACTAAGAATTTAAGATTTTGGTTAACAGCAACGTTGTCTGGTTCATGAGCCCATAGTTTTCTTAAATAGTGGCCCATCAAAGGCCCACTTTTGTTTTCACATGCCATTTTCTTGGAAGTTCAGTTAATTGTGAAACAGACCCCAAAAAAATTTTAATTTTGAAAACTGACCAAAAACAAAATTAAATTTGCAAATAAAAATTAAAGGGTAAATTGCACATGAATAGGGTATCTTCTGCAACCAAGCGTGTAGTTGTCTTGGAAAGATTTAGGTATAACTTTTTTACTGTGTTTGGTTGGAAGATTTAGAGAGAGATTTTGGATAAAGGAAAGGGGAAAATGTGGGTGTTAAAACATTAGGTGAAATGTATTAGGTTTGTATGTAATAGCTTTTATCAAAAACAATGAAGTCGACGTAGAACGATATGTATTTTGCATATATAACAAACGAGTCAGTATGACGAGAGGAGGGAAGAGGGATTGATGAATGTTCCAAGAGGAATCGGGACTGCTCAGGGACATAGAGTATTGAAAGCGGCGAGAAATGGGGTACAATCGCACACTGATTGTTATTTAAATTGTCTGCATTTCGTTCAAACAGGTAAACAATCAAGGTTGAGAGCTGAGGTATCAGGAAGAGAGATCGGAGAGTACAAAGTAGCTGAAAAAGCACTTTGTTTTTCCTGCATTTCCCTTTTTTCTTCAAATATTCTTCTTCGTTAGTTCTCAAATCCCCCCGCTTAACCTAGGATACTCATTCCCCCGGAACGCCTCCGCCCTCCAT